GGGCAGGAGAGGGCAGGAGAGGGCAGCGGTGGGCAGGAGAGGGCAGCAGTGGGCAGGAGAGGGCAGCAGTGGGCAGCGGTGGGCAGGAGAAGGCAGGAGTGGGCAGGAGTGGGCAGGAGAGGGCAGGAGAGGGCAGGAGTGGGCAGGAGTGGGCAGGAGAGGGCAGCAGTGGGCAGGAGAGGGCAGGAGAGGGCAGGAGTGGGCAGGAGAGGGCAGGAGTGGGCAGGAGTGGGCAGGAGTGGGCAGGAGAGGGCAGGAGAGGGCAGGAGAGGGCAGCAGTGGGCAGGAGAGGGCAGCAGTGGGCAGGAGAGGGCAGCAGTGGGCAGGAGTGGGCAGGAGTGGGCAGGAGTGGGCAGGAGTGGGCAGGCAGGTGTCAGCATCAACCCAGTGCCTGCTGATCAGTCGCTTAGATTCTCATACAGTGAGCAGTCGTGTCCTGTGTACAGCCAGAACACAAACGACAGACGTGACCAACGCAGAAATAACTCCCAAAGAGACCGAGAGGAGAGGGCAGAGGGGGCAGGCGCCGTACGATACGATTCAGTAACCATTCGCCGCCCGAATTCTCCGAAATTTGTTTTGCATCCCAGCAAGCCGCATACAAACGGAAACTGAGGTGTTACAGCAGCCCAGCCCAAGACAAGCAAAAACAGACAAAAAAAAATAAAATACCTACAGCAAGACAAAATAAAATAGTTAGGTGTGTGCAAAATATGCTCATAATCACTTTAAACAATAAAATCTGAGCAGAATGCGCATAGGTTTATACAGATTGAAAGGACCACAGTATAAACAGTATATTCATGCAGTGTCCAGAAAGTACATGAGTGCAACGTGCTGTCCATAGAGGAGCAGATGAAGGGCTAGCAGTCCCAGCCTAGGGCAGCGTTCTACACCCTGACAGCCGCCGGGAGGACAGACCTGCGGAAACGTTCCCTTGAATACCGGAGCTGGAGCAGCCTGTTGCTCAAAGTGCTCCGCTGCCCAGTAACAGTCCCATGAAGCGGAGGAGAGGCGTGGTTCATGACGGCCACCACCTCCAGGGGGGTCAAGGCTCAGCCCCAGCACAGAGCCAGCCTTCCTGAGGAGTCGGGGTGCCCACAATCGCTCAGGCTAACATTGCGGTGGGCAGCTTTCCGAAAGAGGGGATTGTCCACTATCGATCAGCGCACAAGTGGATGATGGGGCTGGAGCTGCCCGGTGAAAGAGTCCCTCCGAGCCCGACCACTTGCTTTTGTCCCTTTCGCTGTCCCGGCTCTGAAACTGCGGAGCAGGGATTTGCACTTTGAGAGCACATCTCCCTTAAAGTCCAACCCCTCCTGCAGTGGATTAGGGGGTGGAGGGTCCCAGGGGCTCAGGAATACAGTGCAGTTAGTTGGAGGGTCCCAGTTCAGGGAATAGCTGTGCTATTGGCTGTGTGCTGGCATGAATCTCTGTTTGGACACATGCTTGTGATGCATTTCCATTCTCTCATTGCTATGGGAACACATCTCTGATATGCGTCTCCTTTCTCTCCGTGTATTTACTGTATAGGCACATATTGGTGATTTGTCTCCTTTCTCTGTGTGTTTGGGCACAGGGCTGTGATGTGTCTCCTTTCTCTGTGTGTTTGGGCACAGGGCTGTGATTTGTCTCCTTTCTCTGTGTGTTTGGGCACAGGGCTGTGAATTGTCTCCTTTCTCTGTGTGTTTGGGCACAGGGCTGTGAGCCATCTCTCTAAGCAATGTTAAAATCCCACTGACTACTCATCACATTGCTTGTAGTGCATGAAAAAACTGAAACAATGTCTGAACATACATAACATCAATCGGGATTTCTCCTGATGAAAACAATCGGGGCAACAGGATCAGGGGGCACGTGATTGAAATCACCCCTGAATTTTACTCTTTTTAAATGTCCAGAAGACTATCCACCTGGGGGCTGCTGGTGTCTAGAGGGGTTCGTTTGAGAGAGTCGCTCAACTTCATCCGGCAGGCCTGAAGCTCGGGATTTTTCTACCCTGGGAGCTGTAACACGGGCGCGCCGGCGGCGCCCTGTCTCGCAGCGCCGGGGTGCTGCCCGTGCGGAGTCGGGGGGGGGGAGCGGATAGAAAATGGACTGGTGGGATCCGTTCATGTCCTTTAAAGCCGCATATTAAAGCGAGAAAACACCAATCGGCTCTGTCAAAGACCGGCAGTGGTGTCGGTCCAGCCCGGGACTCGCGCGGCCCGCCCTGCCCTTAACGAGAGCCGCCGAGCTCGGGTCTTTCTACCAGCCAAGCCTCCGCCAGGTCCAATAACAGAGGTTAGACGTTCTCACGCAAGGCTAAAACAAAAAAAAACTTGGTTTGGGGTTAAAAAAATAAACCGACTGGATTTGCGCTGCCCCCGTCTTCACAAACCACGGGGGAATCTTTTTTCGTGCCTCTTAAGGGACGGTAGCCGAACTGGTCATCGTGGTCGCCGGTTTTGTTTCTCTCTGGACGCGCGGTCGTTACAGTTCTCCAAGTTGGACTTGGGTGGCGCCGGGTACACCGTGCAGTACCGCGTCGACGAAATGTCGGGTTTTATAATTCGAGGGGTTTTATAATTCGAGGCGTTTTCATCGGAGATACAAATGCCGCGTAATAAACCTTCTCGCCCG